TATATATCTCTCTCTCTCTCTCTCTCTCTCTCTCTCTCTCTCTCTCCGTTCTTCTCCAAACCAGTGGAAAAGAAAAGCCCCAACCCAAAGTCTCTTCGAGTTTCTGTGTAGAAAAATCAGGGGGTTTCTGTGCGATCTTCTTCTTCAAACATGTTTCCCTCTGCTACCAAAAGGAAAGCCACAACTGATCATCGCTGTTGAAGGGACTGCAGCCATGGGTCTCTTTTGGGAACTCATTGTTGTAGATTATTTAGAGACGATTGTGAGGTCCGCTATTTAAGTTCTAAGTCATTCTTCTATTTTTCTTTGTTTGTGTTTTGTCATAGCTTTCCCTAGAGGGTTGCATAAATGATGAAATTTTATCATGCCTTGCTGCTTAGGGGTGGGCACGGTACGGTATTGGGCTCATACCGCTACCGATACCGGAAATTAAAACCGGTATGGTACGGTATGAGATTATCGTTTGCCAAAATTGGTACCGTACCGTACCGTGCCAAATCGGTATCGGTACCATTTCGGTACCAAAATGATAACTAAAAAATGAACTAATTCAATAGTTAAAATGGTTAAAACTCATGCCTTATGGCTTATAAACCAAAATAGTTAAAATTATGCCTTATGGCTTACAAAATTACAAACACAATCCATACATAAATGACAAAAACAGAAAGATTAAATGATAACATTTTCTCTTTTGTCTCAAAAGGACAGAACTACACAGATTCACTTGTCAAATCTTACAGTCTAACTAGTGATATAATAAACGCAATCAACCAACATATTGGTAGTTTGATCCCTTTTTCCATTTATAGCTGGGTCAAACATATCAATCAAGATTTACTAAACATCTATTGTGGTTTGTTCAAGACTCATAATTTGTTAAACCCAATTCCAGAACATCTATTCCTACAAAAATAAAACACAAAATAAACAACTAGCCTTGAGCAGCAAAAAAGTTTCAGCATTTCAATCCAGAGAAACACACCAAATCATAAATCACAACTACACAGGTGCCTAATCATAACATATTTGAAACCAAATTGATCAAAGCAATATCCAATAGATCTAGATGTGTTAGGATCAAGTCTACACCTCAAAAAATCATGCAAAAGAAATGAAAAGGGTCATTCGGTACGGTACGGTATTGATCGGTACCAAATACTTGATACCGCTACCATACCATACTATATTGGTACAGTACGGTATGGTACCGATTATCTCCCAATCCCAAATGAAACGATATGAAATCAGTATGGTACGGTATGTTTAATGTACGGTTTTGGTATTTCGGTTTAGATGCCCACCCCTATTGCTGCTTACAGTTTCATTTTCTTGCACATGGAAAACTTATTAAGTTGTCCATGAGAACTCTAAAAGTTAACAAGTGCCCAGCTATAACAGCTTCAATTACAGTTCATATTAGGAAGATTAACTAGGTTCATTAATTATATTCCTGTGCATTGAGCCATATATGAACTTTCAATATGTCATTGCCTTTTCTCGATACATGTTGGATCATTAACTTGAATGGCATTTTATGCATTTCTATATCCATTCAATGGGTTGTAATATTGTGGCATTTCAGATCATTCCATTTCACTTGAACTTTGTAAGAGGTTTCCATTTCTTGGTTGGTCTTGAATCAAGACTCTTGATTGTTTATTTTGTTGTATTACACTTGATTTATGAAATTTTGCAAATTTTTTACGGTATCAACATTGATACCGAATCATACAGATCCCGTTTGGGTCCGGTATGGTTTGAACGTGTTTTCAAAAACTCTCATCCCGTGTCATCCCATCCCGATTCCTCCATTCGGGATTGATACTGGGGTGACCTCCATCCCGTGTCATCTCATACCGTGCCCAGACCTACTTCTGAGTGTTTAGGTTGTCAAATAGTTCTCTTTTAGACTTGCAACTTTTAATATTTGATTTTTAGTGAGTTTGTGATGTGTTTGTTTGTTCTTAGGTCTATGATTAGTTGTTGAGTAGTCATATTGTTACTAGAAACATGTAATCATTGTTGTTTTCACTCTATCCATTGGGGTTTTAATTTACCCCCTTTACCTAAGTACCAATTTTAATCATTATGTTTTATAATTTGTACTCATAGCTAGGCTAGGGAGCCTCCTTTCATGCATGCTTAGTCGTGAATCAAGATGGCAATACATATTTGATTGATTATTAATTGGCTCATTACATGTAGTCCATAAAATGTGGTCAGTTACGGACACACCGTTGAGACAAGAGTGGTCACTTAACCGTTTGAAGGCCGAAAAATACCATAGGAGGAGGGATGATTGACCACTCGGACTGTTCGATGCATCTACCCAGTCAATGATTGCCTTGCACATTTTATTTTTTCTTTTAACTGACCTGGTCAAATCTATGTACTTCTCATGTTAAAAAATGGCGGGCCAGAGGCAACTTTCTATCAAG